GCGGCTGGGCGTCCGAGGGCTCCTGGCCCCGCGGAAAGCGGGAATGGAAGAGGGGGGGTGAAGTCGGGCGTGTCCCCCTACAGGCGGATTTTGGACGAAGGATGAAAAATACCCCCAAAATAAATTCAAAAAGAGTCAAAAAAATGCTCAAACAATCGTCCCCAGACTAATTTGTTTAACTACTTTTGAATATTCCCCCTGTGGAGGGACATGCCCGACCTAAGCTTAGAAAAGAAGAAGAAGAAGAAGAAAAAACGGCATAAGCATAAACTGTCGCCAGTCCACGCGGATTTCTCGGATCCGCGCTGGACCGCGTCAGAAGCGGCGCTGGAGGCGCCGCCAGGGGGGGCCCAGCGCGGATCCAAGAAATTTGTGCGGAGCGCCAAAAGCTTATGTTTATGCCGCTGTTTCTTCTTTGATTGGAGGGAGGGAGGGGGCCTGGAATAGAGGGTGACGGGCGGCTTGGAGGGAGGGAGGGAGGGGACTTGGAGGGAGGGAGGGGGATGGGGACTTGGAGGGAGGAAGAGGGATTGGAATACAGCTGGACCTTGGACAGAAGAACATCCTTCAAGAACATGAGACCCTCTGCCGGCCAAAGCACACAGAGCATCCGAGGGTGCCCTCCCCAGGGCGCACGAGGATACGCAACAAGCACACGAAGAACATTAGGGTACCCCCCCCGAGCCGACCTCGACCTTATACCGCAGTCCGACCGTAGAGGGGGATGGGGGAGGGGGCCTGGAGGGAGGCAGGGAGGGAGGGAGGGAGGAGAGGGTGGACGACGAGGAGGGGAAAGAGTGAAAGGAACCTCTGGGAGCCAGACAGTGTGGAGGATGCATCGGGCGCTGCGGCCGTCCCAGATAAACGCTCCGAAACGCTCTCTGAGGGCTTCCCAGTGCGCTGCAGAGCGATGTGGCGGACTCTGGAAAAACCCTGAATCTCTTGGAGACGCATCTTTTACTTCCACCGGCTTCAGCGCTCTGAGAGCTTCCCGGTACGCTCTGGAGCGATATGGCGGACTCTGCTCTCTCGGAACACTCCTTGGACGATCTTTGGATCCTCTTGGGTCGATTCGGGACCCTCTTGAGAGCCTCTTTTGGGCTATCTTGGAGATATCTTGGAGTCCTCTTGGAAGCCTCTTGGGCTGCCTTGGGTGGTCGGAAACCCGAAAACGCGAGAACCTCAAAATCCTGCAAATGCTTAAAGAAAATCATTTGTTCGGGCTCCCGTCTTGAGATGCTCTTGAGCTTCCCGGTACGCTCCAAAACGATGTGGCGGATTCCGGAAACCCTGAACACCAAAATGTTGCCACCTCTTTTAAGGATCTTCTGACCTGGGTCAATCCAAACCCGGGTCAGTCAGGCCTTGCAACAACCTTCCAAAATCCTGCAAAATACTGCACCGAAACCCGAGTCAACGCGAAGGACCCTGCAAAATCCCGCAGGATCCTGCACCCAAACCCGGGTCACTGCGCCCCTGGCCCTGCAAGATCCTGCAAGATCGGGCGCTCTGGCTGACCCCCGCTTGCATTGACCCCCGTCTCAATAGTACAGGGACCGACCGTCCCGGCATTCCTATAGTCCTACCACGAAACGGTCTTAGAACCCCAAAAATGTTCTAAGAACAAACACAATGTCCTTTGAACACAAACCCGATGTGTTAAAACAAGACAGTCCCGGCCCAAAATGTTCTAAGAACATGTTGTGCAGACCACAAAAGGTTCTTAGAATCGGGAACGGCCAAGAGGGGTGTGTCCAAGAGGGGGGGGTGCAAATCATGGCCAGCGGCAAGTGCGCGGCCCAGCGGGGGGACCAGGGACGTAATGAAATGAGAAGAGGCGCCATGAAATCTGGGGAACTATCATGGCTCCCGCCATGATATCCGCCCCCCCCCCTGGCCATCCCCCCCCTCTCTGCCGCCCCCGACAGAACCTTGTGTGGTAGGCCTGTAGGCACGCCGGGACGCTTCGTCACTGCTTGACTCGAGGCTCCCGATCTCGGGGGCACCTCTCTTTTCTGCACGCACGAAATGGGTACTGAAAGAATGGGTACCATGCCCAACAGCAGTCCCTGTCCATTCTGCACAGGAACTGCTGCCCGCGCCGCCGCGGCCTGTGCCCACTCGAGACGGGAGGCCGCCCGCCCAACAGCGGCCGCTGTTGGTTTGGGACAACACTTGTTGCTGGGCACTCTACCCACTCTTTCGGTACCCATTCCGGGCGTCCAAATATCTTGGCTTCCGCCGGCCTCCGTCGGCCTTCCGCCGGCGAGGCCGCCCGGGCCCTGCTCCTGCCGGCCTCCGCCGCCGCTCCGCCGAGTGCCGCCGACGAGGTGCCAGCTCCCTCGACCCTCGAAGGCGAGGCCCTGTTCTGGAACTTCTCATGCCAGGCAGGAGGGAGAAGGAGAAGGAGAAGGAGAAGGAGAGGAGAAGGAGAGTAGAGGAGAGGAGAGGAGACGAGACCCTGTCCGAGGACGGCAGGGGGTCAGCGGCCGAAGAATGATGCACAATAACCTTCTCCGCCCCCGGGGACGCCCGTCCAAGGGCGGCTGGAAAATTTTCACCCCATGCACTCGTCGTGCCAATCACCGTGGCAGCCCTGAGTCAGGAACGGAGGGGCTTCTCAGGCCACGGCGAGCCTCGCCCACGGAGAGGCCCCCCGACCTGCATCGGAGGAACGGCCCGAAACCAGAGCCCCTCCGGAGACCCAAGTGGTCCTTATTGCAACGTCTTGGCTGCACGGTGGCGCGTCGGGGCACACGTGCACTTGCCAGCCGCCCTGGGGCAGGCGTCCCGGACGGCGGAAAGGCAATGCTGTAACCCCTTTTCTGCAGATAGTACCCCCCTGGGGATTTTATAAAGCTCGGGGTCCAGGAGGGATCAAAAACGTTTTCCCGGAGACATGCTGCATAATGATGAACATTGGAATTCCGGTCAGAAGCCCATGGGATTCCGGACGAAACGCATGACATTATTTAGGAAATCCATGGGACGCCTTAGGAAACCCATAAGATGCATTAGGAAATCGATAGGACTCCTTAGGAAACCCATAAGATTCCGCAGGAAAACCGTTGGATTCATCAGGAAACCCATCGGGATCCTAAGAAACTAAATTGAAATCCTTCGGAAATCAAAGAATTCCTGTATCGGAATCCTCTGGAAATACGTTAAAAAATTCGGGCACCCTTTCGAATCCGAAGGGAATCGACAGGAAGCCTTAGGAAATCCATAGGACCCTTAAAGAGATCAATAAAAATCCGATGGAAATCCATGGGGTTCCTTAGGATACCCATTGGAATCCCAAGAAAATCTTCTGAATTCCTGCGGACATGCATCGGATTCCTGTAGAAATCCATAAACCAGCCTATGGAAATCCAAAGGAATCCTTTGGAGATCCATCGGAATCCTAAGGAAAAAAATTAGACCCCTTAGGAAATCCACTCAATGTTTTAGGAAATTCATAGAAATCCGATGGACATCCACAGGAACCCGTAGGACATCCATAGGAATCCTAAGGACATCGATCGGATTCCTTCGGACATCCACTGGGCCCCTTAGGGAATCCGTCGGAATCCAATGGGAATCAAGAGGGTTCCTTTGGACATCGATAGGAACCCTAAGAACATCCAATGGATTTCTTAAGATATCCATACGAATCCTAAGGAAATCGACTGGATGCCTGAAAAAGCCTTAAGATTCCCCAGGACGCCCATAGGAACCCCAAGGAAATTAATTGAAATTCCTAGGGAATCAAAAAAATACCATAGGACAGCCATAGGATTCCTTTTGGAAATCTATTGGATCCCGATGGACATCTACGAGGATTCTCGAATATGATGAAAATGAGGACGATGACGGTTCTGAACCTTTGGCGGTTCTCGCCTGAGAGCTGGAAGCCTTTGGCGGTTCTGTTGGGAGGACAGTTGGGTGTAGGGCATGATTGGAGTTAAACTGTGTCAGAGATCTCGGGTGGCCTTGTCATCATCTTGCAAGAGCCGCTTTGAATCGACCACATGCACTCGTCACGAGTAGTGAAAGCACGGAAGTTCACACCACGCTTTGTGCTGTACCTGCTGGGTCCTCCTCGTTTGCGGCCGATGTTGCCTGCACCTCCAAGAGAGTGCCAAGACAGCGTCAGAGAGTTCAACTGCATTCCCGAAACATCTGTGCAATGTGACCCCGAAGTCTTGATGGGGCTCGGAATGAACTTGAAGAACAAGAGAATCACTGGATTTCCTTGTTTTTTCAAGTGGGACCTCCCAACATGTAGTGCGCAGGAACTGGGGGGGGCCTAGAAGGCGTGCAAGGAACTCTTGGAAGGCAGTCTGGAGGCCGCTGGGGGACTGTTTGGGGGCCTCTTTTGAGCCTCTTCGGGGCTCTTTGGGGCCTCTTCGGGGCTCTTTGGGGACTCTTGGGGCCTCCTGGGGGCCTCTTTGGAGCGGAAAGCCGGGATTGTCGATTCGCGTTCCCCCTGTCGGGCGGCTTCTCGGGCCATCTTGGGGCTCTCTTGGGCTGCCTCGGGGCGCTCTTGGGCCGTCTTGGGGCCTTCTTGGGGGCTCTTTGACGGTCTTGGGGCGGTTTGGGGGGCCTTCTTCGGCCGTCTTGGAGCGGTGAAGCTCGAAAACGCGCGAAGGCTAAAAACCGGAAAGAACAAAAAATGTTTTGGAATCTTCGGGCGCTCCCGGAACGCCTATCGGAGCTCCCTTGGGGCCTCCTGGGAGCCTCCTGGGAGCCTGGAGCGCCGTCGGAAGTCTGTCTCGTGCTGCTTGGGGACATCTTGGGCCGTTCTTTCGCGTTCTGGGAGCTCCTTGGGGTCGTCTTGGGTCGTCCTGGTGCGTTTTGGGGCCTCCCTGGGAGGCCCGGAGGTGGTACCGGGAGTTGCCCCCAGATGTCACGGAGGAGGGGGACGCTCCCTGGGAGGGGGGGGCGTAGTTGTTTCAATCTGTATACAGCTTATCTGCCTACTTTCCTTCCCTTCTCCTGACAGCTCGTCTGGGCACTGTTTCCGGATCCTGCCTCGAGCGCTGCCAGGACGCTGCAGGCAGAGGGCGACGACGGGTGCGCCGCGACGTCTCGCCGGCACTGGTGGGCGGCAACAATGGAGCGACGTCTCGGAGAGGGGCTCTTCGGCACCCCCATCGGGCAAAAGAGGCCGGGCTCAGGCCCCGAGCACCTCGCTGGGAGAAGCGCGCGACAGAGGGCACACGGTCTGGAGCAGCGCCGTGCCCAGGAAGGCGTGCGGCCGGCGCCTGCTGCGGCGAGAGTCCACGAGCGACGCTTCTCCGCACCACACGTTCTCGGGCCACTGCGAGCAGAGGCTCTGAGAATCATGCTCAGGGTCGTCGTAGCAGACGTTGTTCCCAGCCAGGCACGCGGAGCAGGGCCCAGCGAAGTCCCAGGCCTTGCCGTGGTGGGCCACAGCCGCTTCGCAGACGCTGGGCTCCCCGCCGGACGCGGAGGGGGAGGTCGTGGGCGCCTCCGTGGGCGCCCGCGTCGGCGTCGGCACCGCCGGCGTGGGCGACGGGGTCGCGGGCGCCTCCGTGGGCCTCGGCGTCGGCGGCGCCAGCGTGGGCGACGGCGTCGTGGGCGCCTCCGTGGGCGCCGGCGTCGGCACCGCAGGCGTGGGCGACGGCGTCGCGGGCGCCTCCGTGGGCCTCGGCGTCGGCGGCGCCAGCGTGGGCGACGGCGTCGTGGGCGCCTCCGTGGGCGCCGGCGTCGGCACCGCAGGCGTGGGCGACGGCGTCACACTGGGCGCGGAGCCCAGCGCCTGCCTCACAGGCTCGGACCAGCCAACGTCGTCGGAGGCGGCCCACAGGAAGGCCCCGCCGTGCCCGGGGAACGCCGCGGCGACGTCCTGGAGGATGGCGGCGGCCTGGCTGCCGTCCACGTTGCTGCCGGTCCCAGAGCAGTCGGCGATGCAGAAGCCAAACACAACCTTGCTGGCGTCGCCGCCGAAGATATCGTCCACGAGGTGTCCCATGTGCTCTATGGCGGGCTGGGTGTCGATGGCGGGCCTGAGCGGGCCGTTGTAATACTGAGGCAAGAGGTAGTCGACGCTGGAGGCGACCTCCTGGAGGACGCTGAAGTACGGTGCCCCAGCGGCGATATCCCCATCCATGGGCGCGTGGGAAATGATCTTCCCCGCGGGCAGCGCGGCGCGGAGCCCCGTGGTCAAGTCCTTCAGGAACTGGCTGGACGTGTCCGTGTGGTCGTACTCGTAGTCGATCCGCCACCGTGCCATCGGCACGCTGAGGCGCGTTAAGAGCATGCTCGCTGTCTCGGGTTCCCAAAACCCACGACGGCCCAAGAGGCGCGCAAGATCGCCCCAGGAGTACCCAAGAGGGCCCCAAGAAGGAGAGCTCGCACTGGCTCCAGGAGCTTTCCCTCCGACGTGGCCCCCTGGACCCGCAACGTGCCCCAAAGGGGCCCCCCGAGGTCCGCAAGACGATCCAGAACGCCTCCAAGAGCGCGCCCATGAGGCCCCCATGAAACTAAAATAACATATTCTGCAGGCTTTCAACATACTCGCCGTTTCGGGCTCCTGAAAATCCAAGGCAGCCAAAGAGGGAGAACTGGCACTGACCGTTGGGGCCTTTCCGTTTTAGATGGCCCCCCAGACCCCCAACGTGCCCCCGCGAGGCTGAACCCTCTAAGGGGCCCCCAAGAGGCCCTCGAGGCGGCCCCGCAGAAGAAGACGCATCCACGATGCCTTCAGGCAAAAAGAGAGGGGGGAGAAAGAAGGATGATGATGATGATGATGATGATGATGATGATGATGATGATGATGCTGATGGTGATGATGATGATGATGGTGGTGATGATGATGCTGATGATGATGATAATGCTGGTGATGATGATGACGACCATGATGATAATGATGATGATGGTGACGATGATGATGGTGATGATGATGATGCTGGTGATGATGATGACGATGCTGATGGCGATGATGATGATGCTGATGCTGACGATGATGACGACGATGACGACGATGCTGATGATGATGACGACGACGAAGGTGTTGATGATAATGACGATGATGATGGTGATGATAATGGTGGTGATGGTGACGGTGACGGTGACGGTGATGGTGATGACGATGCTGATGATAATTATTATCATGATGATGCTGATGATGATGGTGATGGTGACGGTGATTGTGATAGTGATGATGATGAGGTGGAGGAGGAGGAGAACGAGGATGAGGAGGAGGAGCAGGAGGAGGAGGAGCAGGAAGAGGAGGACCAGTGTAAACCCAATAGTCATCAACGACGTTGGAACAAATCCCCTCTTCATAGGCTCCTACAACGGTTCATCTCCACTGAGGAAACTGCCTCGTTGGAAAACAACCGCTGGAAGATCCTGAAGCATGCCAAAACATTGTTCTCGGGATTCCAACGCCACGGATCAACCTGACTGTTGTATCTTGACGAGCCTGAATCGTGCCAGAACAACATTCCTGGGACTTCAACGCCGAGAATGTTATGTAACAAGTGCACCCGCACAGTCCCAAATCTTTCCAAAACACAATTTCTGGTACGTTGATCCTGGGAATCCGTGAAACTCGTGCAAATGATATAAACGAATGTGCGGGGCGCTAGGACGAGAGCCACATTTTGGAAAGGAACCTCCCTCAATCCGTGAAACTCTTGCACCTGTTTAAAACGAATGCACGCGGCGATCAAGCGAGAGCCAAATTTTGAAAACGGCCCGCCCTCGATCTGAGAAACTCTTGTAATGTTATAAAAGAATGTGCGCGGCGCTACGGCGAGAACGGCATTTTGAAAACCACTCGCTCTCAATCCGTGAAACTCTTGCCAATGTTTTAACGGATGTGCGCGGCGCTAAGGCGAGAGCCACATTATGAAAACCACTCTCGCCCTCAATCCGTGAAACTCTTGCCAATGTTATAAACGAATATGCCTGGCGCTAAGGCGAGAGCCACATTATGAAAACCACTCGCCCTCAATCCGTGAAACTCTTGTGCAAATTGTATAAACGAATGTGCCTGGCGCTGAGGCGAGAGCCACATTTTGATAACGACCCGCCCTCCATCTGTGAAACTGTTGCCAATGTTTAAGCTTCAGGGTCAGAAACGGCGAGGAAGTCTCAGGCGAAACGCGGGGCCCGCCCTAAAAACTTGCCTCGGATGTGACAGGGAGAAATTGTTTATAAGGAAAAGGAATGGAGGAGGAGGAGGAGGAAGGGAGGAGGAGGAGAAGAAATGAGGAGGAGAGAGGAGGAGGAGAGAGGAGGAAGGAGGATGGACAACAATTGGGCTTTCAGTTCAGCGCTCTGTTTGACCTGGAGCGGGTCTCGAACTCGACCTTTTTCTGGCCGCGCCGTTGCGCTGGCGCGGTGGCGGGGTGTGCCGCAGGCAGCCGCATATCCACGCCGTCAAAGCCCTGGCTGTCGATGATCTCCACCAAGCGGCTCACCACGCTGTCCACCCTCCCGAAGCAATATTCCCAACAGTCGTTCACGTCGCCGGCCCAGCTCCCGCCCATGCCCGCGCCGCCGAAGGAGAGCAAGACCTTGGTGCCCGCCTGCCGCCACGTCTCGATCAGGTCGGGCTTGGCCTGGTTGTCGCACGTGGCGGGCACCCCGATGGTACAGCTCTGGTCGCACTGATTCTTCGTGGGGTTCCACGTGTAGCTGACCGCGAAAGAGACGATAACCTTGTCGTAGCCCCGAATCTTGTCCAGGCTCGGGCACGGCAGCCAGTTCTCCACGAACGCCACCAGCTGCTTGCTCCCCTCGGGCTCGGGTTCTGGCTCCGGCTCCGGAGTTTCTGGAGGCTCCGTGGGCGACGTCGGCTCCGTGGGCGATGGCGCGGGCGTTGGGCCCGCGGACGCCCCGCCGCCCACCACCAGCCGGACGTCCGCGCAGTTCTTGAACTGCTCGCCGCAGAGCACGGGGCCGCCCTGCTCCGCTGGGCACTCGCCCTGGTAGGAGCACACCACGCCATCGCACCACGCGCTTGCGTCCCACCCCTGCCGCTCCATTTCCTGGAAGTAGCACCTGTAGGCGTCCGGGTGCGGCGTGCAACTGTTCGCGCTCATCCACCACCACTGCAGAGTGCAGCTCTCGCATGTGAGGTCGGCGGGGATCCGGTAGTGGAAGCGGTGCTGCGTGCGGGTGAGGTGTGACCCGTTATGGGGTGGGAGGTACCAGTGCCCAGGGTTAGCCTCGTCGTAGGGCTGACAATCACCTCGTGGGTCGTTTGGCTGGCAATCCGCGTGGACCTCCTCTGGCCTGGCCCGGCTCAGGACGTGCTCATTCAGGCATTCCTCCTGCGCCTGGTAGTCACCAGTCTGGCTGTCCAGGCGCTGGTCGCAGAGCCGGAAGACGAAGTGCCCCTTGTGGTGGGCGGTGACGGTGATCACGAACTCGGCCAGCTGCCCCGCCCGCAGCTCGGTCACCGGGCCGACCGCGTCCAGGAAGTGGGCGTTCCCGCAGGTCGCCATTGGAAGGTCGGTGGACCCCAAGCACTGCGGGCAGTAGCCGTTCCCCACGTTGTTGTAGGCCCCGCCGCGCATCTCGGGCTTCGTCAGGAACGCGTGGCCGCTCGCAAGGGCGGGCAGCAGACCCAGGGCCAGGACGAGGGCGGAGCTGCCCATGGCGGGGAGGCTTGGGGCCGCCAGAGGGGACGTTCGAGATTCGGCCTTGCGTCGAGCGGCTCGTGCGCGAAATGGCTGCGGCAGTGCGCGCCTCGGCTGCCACCCCCCCCGCCTCGCCCCCCGCGCCCTGCACCCTGGTCCCCCTCCCCCGAGATGGCTACGATGGGCGACGGCTTTGAATATCGGCTCCAGGGGGGGGGCCGTTTCGGGCCGCGGGGCCATCGTGAATGGACTTGGAGCGCAAGATCCTGCCGACAGATGAGGTCGAGAGCTCGGACAGAACCTCTTCTGCTGGCGCGCGCGAGGGGGACGAGGCCTCCAAAAAGGCTCCCTGTCGGCCCCAAATGCCTCAGAACGGCCCCAATACGGTTTCCATACGGCCCAAGAGACCTCCAAGGCAGCACCTGAGATGACCTCCAAGACGGCTCTGAAGCGACCCGGTGAGGGCCCGAAGTCCCAGAGGCGCCCCCAAGACGGCTTCTGACGGCGCCAGACGGGCCAGCAACGCCAAAGACGAGCGGAAATTGCACAACGCCCACCCTCGAGAGGCCCAAGGAGGCCTCGCCTTCAAGAGGCCCCAAGAGTGCTCCAAAAGCTCCAAAGGGCCGTCAAGAGGCCCCAAGAGTACTCCAAAAGCTCCAAAGAGGCCTCCTCCTCCTCCTCCTCCTCCTCCTCCTCCTCCTCCTCCTCCTCCTCCTCCTCCTCCTCCTCCTCCTCTGGTCCTCCCTCTCGCCCTCTTCCTCTTCCTCCCCATAATGTTCCCCGCAGGGTTCCCACAACGGCTGGGGGAACACACAGTCCGATAGCGTGGCCGAGCTCTGGTCACAGCGTTCGGCCGCATGGGCGTTTCCCAAAGGCGGGGGGCGACTGTGACTCCCCGTAAGCGTCTTCGATCTGCCGCCCCCTTAGCCTGCCAGTGCTTGGTCTGCCAGCCCCCTGGTGACTTGCCACAGGGGTGCACGGCGTGCCAAACCTCAAGGTAGCTTGGCACTTCTGAGAAAAAATCCGAATGTGGTCTCTTCGATCCCGTTGGCCAGAAAGTATCACTGGAAGTGGAAGGCAAGGACTTTGCCGCTCCAGATGGCTCCAAAATGGCCTTCAAGACGGCCAATGCGGCATCCAAGACGGCCAAGCTGGCCCCAAGAGAGCCCAAGATGGACCCAAAATGTCTCCACAACGGCCCGAGATGCACCCCCGACGACCTAAAATGGCATCAAGATGGCCCGAGAGACCTCAAAGAGGAGGACCTCCAGGAGGACCTGTGACGCTTGCTCCAAGACGGCCCCATAGGCCTCCTAGATCGCCCCAACACGGCCCACGAGACCCCCAAGAGGCCCGCAAGACGGACCAAGAAAGCCCCAAGACGGCCCAAGAGGCCCCGAAGACGGCCCGTAAGCGCCCAAGACGGACCCACGATTACCCAGAG